GGATACTGTAAGTACAAACTCTATTTGCACTGTTTAATAAGACTATAACTGCTGCATACTCTTTATAATCCTAATCCTATTCTTATATTTAAACTGCAGCTGTCTTTACTCCATCTCTACTGGAGTATGTTGAAGTGTGTTTTTATGATGTCTATTACGTCCCGCATTGGCAGGTGGCTATCCTTCTTAAACCGCCCGTTAAAGGAAGAACCAGCACCCTGTCCAAAAGTTTTTTCAATTATTCTTTTTGCGCTAGAGTATTCGCAAATGGAGTTTTTGCACTGATTAAGCAGCTTGCTTTTGAAATCGTCGAAAACAACCTCTCTTTCTTCCATTCTTTTGAGCAGGCCATACCCCATTGTATCTAGATACTCGTATGCCTCTTTTTCTTCACTTTTTTGCTTTACTTTTGACCACTTCATGTGTGCTGCAAACTCTTTCAGCACTGCAGGAACCGAAGAATGGGCATGCCTTACATTCAAGTACGCGAACATACTCCTGCGCCCAATGTAGTCGGACACTTTTCTAGCATGCTCATGGTCTATTGAGTACGGTATTTCTGCTTTTATGTAGGGATACCTCGGATCAATCCTGTCGTACTTTCCGTTGGCATACACACACACTTTGTGTGCCCTATCACCGTACGTTGAAACTAAATGTGCTGCAATGTCCTCTGACACTTTGAACTCTCGGGATATTTTTGCTGCAAGGTTTCTTTCGTACTGGTGGCTGCCTATGAGTCTGACGTACTTTGTTACACACGGTCTGTTTGGCAGGCTAAAAAACTTTGCAGATGCATCAATGGCTTCTTCTGCTATTTCTCTGTAGCTTGTCCACTTTCCCCCCGACACAGTCACAAGGCCTGTCTCTGATCTGTCAATCAAATGAGACCGCACAATGGAGGTGCAGTCAGCAGACTCTACAGTGTCTCGTGTCAGCGGCCGAATACCTGCCCATGCACTGAGAATATTCTTGGCTTTTGGAGCTATCTGTCCCTCTATAAACTCGCCCATTTCTCTGACTATATATTTTACATCTTTTTCCGTTGCTTTTGGCATTTCCATACTTTTCATCTCTCTGTCTGTTGTTCCTGCAATCGACACCCCCTTCCACGGAATTAGAAAGAGCACGCTTCCATTTTTGGTGCTTGGGTTAAGCATGCCGAGCTTCCCTGTGTATGCCCCCGGCATGACCAAATGCACTCCTATGCTGGGCACTATTATCTTGGGCTTATTTGGGACATCCATTCTCCTTATTGTGTCAGAGTATGGGCCTGTTGCATTTATCACGCCTTTGCACTGGACTGTGTGCTCTATTCCTGTTTCTGTGTCTTTAAAAGAGACTCCCACTATTCTATCCGAGCTGTTTTCCTTTGTTCCGTCTGCAGATTTATTCTCTTTTTTTATGAAGTTTGTTACTTCTGCATAGTTTATAGCAGAGCCGCCGTAGTATATGCCTGTCTCTACAAGCATAGTGTTCACCCGCGAGTCATCCATCTGCCCGTCAAAATACACCATGCCTCCTGCTATTTTCTTGTAGTCAATAGAGGACAACACTTTTCGTACTTCTTCTTTTCCGATAAAATAGCTCTTTTGGATGCCAAGTCTACCTGACAGAAAATCGTACACTTTTGTTCCCATCCAGAAGTAGGGCACTGTCAGTTTGTGTCTGATGGGGAGAAGTATGCCCACTTCTCTTGTCAGGTAGGGAGCCAGATTCAAAAAGGATTTTCTTTCTCTTAGCCCCTCAACTACTAGAGATAGCTGTTTGTAGTCTAGTTCTTTAATCGCTTTTTCCAGGTATCTTATTCCTCCGTGTATTAGCTTCGTGCTTTTTGAGCTGGTTCCGCTTGCAAAGTCATTTTTTTCTAAAAGCAGCACGGAGTAGCCTCTGGTCGCAGCATCAAGCATGCACCCTGCCCCTACGCTGCCGCCTCCTATTATCACTATGTCGTACTTTTTATCTTTTATTCTCGAAAGAGTTCTCTCTCTGGAAGGAGGCGCCCAGGAGATGGGAATGTTTCTGTTGTATTTGCGAGCATGCTTCTTTTCGTCATCTTTTGCCAGTTTTTGCTGCAGTATCACTGCTCCTGCGAGAGTTGTAAGACAGAGGCCTCTCAGGAATGACATTGTTTATTAATTCATGCGAAGTTTAATATTTAATTTGGTTTTAATTTAGCTTGTTTCATTTTTATTTCAAATTTTAATTACTACACTGTGTTTACTTGTACTAGTTTTATTTTTATTAGCACTAT